CTCCCATTTGGAGCTCCTTCTGCACCCAAGCAGCTGCTTTGCCAAAACCCAGCTCACCCTTAAGCACAGAAATGTCAGTGAACTGACACTGTAATAATAACACAGGGCTTCTTCAGATTTTGCAAGGATTCCTAAAAATGGAAAGGCGTTCGTGAGCTATTGCAAAAATAGCATCTGTGCTGTTTATTTCTTCTCCTTTTTGCCTTCACAATTTGAAGTAATAAATCCCTGTCTTGCAGGTAACCCAGATGTTGGAATCTTGCTGCATTGGCAGCACAGAGTCACCAGAGACTCCGTGGGATTACTGTGGCTCTGGGGGGAAGGAGAGTGATGGGGAGGAAGAGAGGTGCCAGGAACAGACCACAGGAACAGCAGGCTCAGGAGCAGAGGAAAGTCAGCTGGACATCCTGGCAAAAGATGAGGAAGAACTCTTCCTGGAAAGAGAGGTAGGAGAGTGGTGGTCCTGAAAGAGCCCTGGGTGAGAGATTAGACAATGAAGGAAACCAGCTCTAGAAGAGATGGGGGGCCCCAGGTTCTGAGAGGGGAGATAAAACACATGAGGAACACAGAAAAATGTATGAGGGAAGGGTGTTTTTTGTGTATCTTTATAAACAGGAAGCTTGTTACAGATGAAACTGTCAGATGTGAGTTGGAGGAATTGCTCCTTGGCAGTGTAAAGGTGACTCATGAGAGCTGGCAGGCTGCTCTCAGGTTTAAGGCAAGGTTGGAATACTTGCCTGGCTCTAATTGCTGTGTTTTGCAGCACAGCTTGGCTGGTTTCAGGCCCACGTGGCTGTGCCAGCAATAACCATCTGCCCCTGGGGACTGTCATGTCTTAGAAGCAGGCACTGTCTAGCCTGGGTTTGCATCAGCCCTGTGTTTGGGGGCTGTGGGCTCCCACCAGCCTGCTGGGTGTTCCTGGGAAAGCAGCACAGCACTGGAGGAACAGGGCTATTTTTCCACACTTGTTCTCTTGCAGACTCAGGACACTGGAGACAAACAACCCCCAGGATTTCACTGTTCAGCCAGGACAGTGTTTTCCCAGCAGTCACTCTGCTCTCTGCTGCTGTTACTCCCAGCAGCTCCCTCACTGTTCTCCCAGTGCTCACAGCCAAACACACAGTGTTCAGTTTCTTTCTGAGAATTCTGCTCGTGCTTCAGATCTGTTGAGGATTCCGAGGTGCTCCTGCATGAAATCCCACTGAGCTTTTTACTGGCAAACCACTACAACAACAGCACCACTCTCCTTCCTGGCTGAGTCTATTCCCTGTCAGTTTAACGTGGGAGTTTGTGAGGAAACAACCTTGTTAACTCTGGGGGTTCCTGTTATCTGTATCTGCAGCTTTAACGAGCCTGAGGCACTCTTACCTCAGCTCCTGGTTGCCCTCTCTACATCCATGACTCCTCCAGAGAGCAGACACAACGCTGGGCACCACTCATCTCCACAGGTTTGTGTCAGCCAGGGGTGGATGGCATCCAGGAGATCAGACACATCTGCTGGAAGGTCTGAGTGAGGTCAGACAGCATCCTCTGAGTAAGAGAGCAGGCAGCTCCCAGCTGAGCCTGGATGCAGGAGAGGGATTTACAGCAGGCTGGCTGCTAGATGAAGGATTCAGGTCCTGTGCTGCCATTTTAGATGTGTCCTCTGTGCTCTTCAGGGAGAGACTGAAGACTCATCTGGAGAACCCCCTTCAGATGAGCTGCATTCACCTGAGGTGAGTGCTCAGGCCCTGGATCAGGATGGCAGTGACAGCAGCTCTGCAGCCTCAGTGCTGGACTCCACAGGCTCTCCCAACGTGCACCTGTAAGTAGCTGGTTCTGCACTCTTGCAAGTGCAGCAGAACAGAGTCATTTCTTTCCCTTGGCACACGTGAGAGCAAGTGCATGGCCAGGTCACATCCAGGAAGGTGAGAGAGCCAAGCAGAGCAGGAGGGAGGGAGGGAACTTGTGCTGTCTCTGGATTTGCTGGTATTGTAGGGCATTGATCCTAAGGTGAAGTGAGAAAAGTAGAGATTAAATAAGAGATTAAATGGAAAATAGATGTTTTGGTTTTCTCAAGTGAAACAGGCCTGGTGTGAGCTGCACACCAGGCTCTGTCAGGCACTGCACAGCCCAGCATTTCCAGCCCCTCTGAGCAGGTGCAGGTGTGTCAGTCACATGCAGGCTCTGCCACACGTGTGATAACTTGCACTGCCTTTCAAAGGAAAAACGTGGGATTTTGGGAAGAGAAACTTCATAAAAACCACCTCAGTAAAGTTCTGAACTGCAGAGTAGCTTGAGCTTTTCTATCCAATTTGGTCCTGTTCCTTATCTCAGCTTTGCTTTTACCCTTGTCCTGCATCTTCCTGCACTCTGGATGCTCAGTTGTGCATTCTGATGCAGAGCACTCCCACCATCACACTCAGAGGCTTTTTGTAGCTTCATCCACCTGGATGTGGTGGGAGCCAGCAGAATTGTCACCTCCTACTTTGTCTCGAGTGATGATCTGGCAGTATCTTCACTCCACAGGCTGCAGCCAAGCTGGAATAACCCCCTCCAGCACCTGATCCTCAAAAAAAAGCTCCTGTCCATCTGGAGGATGATAGCCAGCCACAGGTACGTGGGAGCAGAGGGCTGCATCAGCATCTCCTGAACACTCTGCCCTGAGTCCCAGCTCCTGTGTCACCAGTCCCAGACCCTGTGTCACCTGTCCCAGCTCCTGTGTCCCCTGTCCCAGCCCTCCCCTCCCAGGGGCTGGCCTGTCTCTCCAGGACTTTGCTTTGGGAGCAGCTGCCTGCTGCAGAGCTGGAGAGAACACTGCATATTGATTTCCTCTGCTTAATGTGGCAGAGCCCAAATGCTGCTTCCTACACAGCTGGCACAACACTGGCTGTGGTATCAGGGCCAGCAGGGAGAGGCAAGCCCTGCTCCATGTTCGTGGTGCAGGAGCAGGCAGAGAACATTCCTTGTCCTTGTCCTTGTCCCTGCAGGTTCAGCAGCCCGTTCCTGAAGCCAGTGTCAGAGAAACAAGCCCCTGGATACAGGGATGTGGTAAAGAGGTGAGTTTGTGGAGGAAGTGCTCACTGGCTGATTTCTCTCGGGTTGTATTCTGCCTTCTCTGGTTTCCAAAGGGCCAGTGGGATTGTTTCCTTCTTCCTTTTCCAGAGTTTGGCTGTCACCAGCATCTCCTACTGATTTCTTTCAGTAAAACTCCCTTCTGGGTAATTAGAACCTGGAAGCTCGCACTGACTCTGGAGCTGGTGGGAGTTGTGCCTGGCCTGTGCAGGCATTGCATGGCTGGCTCATCCCAGGGACAGTCCCTGGGCAGATCCAGGCCCTGCAGCTCTGCAGTCTCTTCTCCCCGTGCCTGGAATGTGCCTCAGGAGGTGCCCCCTCCTCACCCGCTGCGAGCGCCCCAGATGTTTCACTCTCAGCACAGAAGTGGGTCATAAGAATATTTCCCAGAGAGATTAATGGCATTTTTTCAGAGCTGAATCATGTTCTATTCTGGTCACAGTTGTCCTCTCTGCAGCCATTCATTTTCCCATTCTGTCAAAGTAAGGGAAGTAATATTTATTCCCTATCATGTTCCCCTTACCAGCACTGCTATTTTTGCTGGTGGGACCATTCGATCTTTAGAGGGTTTAATAGATACCTATTTTAGCAACTTTTCTTTCTCCACTAAGACCTGGACTGGCTTCCTGAAGACTAATTACTGCTTGCCTGCTCTGGAGCTCAGCATCCCATTTTTTCCAGAGGTGACTGCTAATGACCTGCCAAGTTGATTGGATGGCAAGTGTCGCATTGGCTGAACTCACTTTTGTCTGGCTGAGAAGAAAAGCCTTTCTCACTCCCCACTGTGTGTCTTGAGCAGTAAAATTGATTGAAAATAGCTGTGCTTTCAGGGCCACCCTGAAATGTGAACAAGTACATTCATGCAGATCCCAAAGGATGCCAGGGCCTGGGTTGCAATTTCATTCTTCTCTCTGTCTTTTGTAGGCCCATGGATTTAAGCAGCATAAAGAGGAGGCTCTCAAAGGGACACATTCAGTCCGTGATGCAGTTCCAGTGTGACCTGATGCTCATGTTCCAGAACGCTGTGATGTACAACAGCTCCGACCACCACGTGTTCCACGCAGCTGTGGAGATGCAGCGAGAGGTCTTGGAGCAGCTGCAGGTCTTGGCTGAAGCCCTCCTGTTGTCCAGGGACAGGCTGGAGTGAGGCAGAAGGTAACCAGCCCTGCCTGAAGCCTCTCTAGTTGGAGCAGCAATGTCTCCATGGCTCAGGGCATCTCCTGGGCTCAGGGGATGTGCTGCCATGGCCTCGGGTAGACCTCATTATCCCCAGTGCTGGCTTCTGGGGTTGATGGGTTGATTCAGAGCAGTTTTTGGGAGGGTACCCTGTTGGAAGCCTCCATTCTTTTTGGGAAAAGCAGCAATGTAGCCCTTCAGGGAGAAGAGTTCCCTGGGATGAAAAGCAAGGGAGAGAATCCTGTGTGTGGTCAGGTGGATGAAGCGGGCACAGCCCGTGAGGGTGGCTGGCTGCACAGCGGGCACTGCAGCGTTCCCAGGTTCAGGTTGGTCTGATGTTGTGTTGGGTCGGGTGGGTCCGGCGTTACCGGCACTGACCACACCCAATAAAGGCCCGTGTTGAAGCTTGCCCCGGCCTGCCTGACACTGGGACTGGGGCCAGAACTGGGACTGGGGCTGAGGCTGGGTCCAGAAGTGGAACTGGGACTGGGACCGCGACTGGAACTGAGACTGGGACTAGGTCCAGAACTGGAACTGGGACTAGGGCCAGAACTGGGACTGGGAGTGGGGCCAGAACTGGGACTGGGACTGGGTCCAGAACTGGAACCGGGACCGGGGGTGGGAAACGCGGGATGGAGCGCGCGGCCGGGAATGCTCCAAACACCGCTCGCCATTGGCCATCCCGGCTGTCTGTCACTGCCAGAGCGGTTCTGATTGGCTGTCGGGAGGGCTCGGGGGCGTGTGTCCCGGCCGCTGCGCGCGCCCCGGAAGCGGATCCGGCCTGTGGCGGCCATGGCGCGGGAGAAGCCGGAGGCGGCGGCCGAGGCGGAGGCGACCCCGGAGCTCTCGTACCGGGAGCAGCTCGACTTCCTGAACCCCATCGCGCAGCCGCTCGCGTCCCGCAAGCTCACCCGAAAGCTGCTCAAGTGCATCAGGAAAGGTCCGGCGGCGCCGGCGGGGAGGGACCGGGTGATGGCGGTGGCGCGGTGCGGTCCCGCACGCTCGGTTCTCACTCGGCCCCTCACGCCGTGCTTCTCTTGCAGCGACCAAGCACAAGCAGCTCCGCCGCGGCGTGAAGGAGGTGCAGAAGTTCATCAACAAGGGCGAGAAGGGGTAAGTGCTGCCCTGACCCCGCGGGCCCACGCGGCCCCGGCCCGGGCGCTGACGCGGCTGTGCCCGCAGGATCACGGTGCTGGCCGGGGACACGCTGCCCATCGATGTGTACTGCCACATCCCCATCATGTGCGAGGACAGGAGCCTCCCGTACGCGTACGTCCCTTCCAAAACGGTGAGTGTGGGGCGGGGGAGGAACCAGCCCTGGTGACAGGGAGCCCGGGCTGTGGCCGGAGCCTTCCCGGGAGGTGCACGTTCGGTGCTTGAATAAAGAACTCGGTGTTTGTCCCTGAACGAGGCACAGAAGGGACTGGGCGAGGTGTAGGAGGGTCTCACTGTGGAATCACCGAGCTGTTTGTCATGATCGAGTTCCTGCAGCAGCTCCGGGACAGAAGCAGCACATCTTTGCCAGGCTTCTGTGGGCTGGGGCCGGCTCTTTTGCAGACAGGGAGTTCTGGGGGGGCAGTCGGTGTCTTTGGAGCTCCAGCCCCGGTTCAGGCAGCTCTGCAGACGCACTCTGGGGAAGAATTATGGCACATGAGCCAGATGCCAGTCCCTTCTGCCAGCCCAGCTTGTAGAAGACAAGCTGGGAAAAGGTTCCTGAGGTTCTCACCTCGGGAAGGGAGCTGGCCCCTCCATGGCCTCGCTGTGTTCCCTCAGGACCTGGGAGCTGCAGCCGGCTCCAAGCGCCCGACCTGTGTCATCCTGATCAAGCCCCACGAGGAGTACCAGGAGGCCTACGACGAGTGCCTGGAGGAGGTGTCGGCCCTTCCCCTGCCGCTGTGAGAGCCGGGGCCGCACGGCTGTTTCTGGGGACTCTGCCCAGAGGACTGATGGGGGGATGCTGAGCGCTGTGGGGTCAATAAAGGTGTCTGCGGGTTTGTACAGAGTGGTCCTGGTGCTCGGGGGAGGGCTGGGGGATCCAGGCTGGGTTAAAGCACAGCGGGGCCAGGGGTGAGGCTGCCCTGGGAGCCCGCCCGGCCCCACCGTGACTCACGGCCATGCCCCGCCCGTTGTACCGCCCAGCCCGGCCCCACATCGTCCTCCTCAACCCCACATTCATGACCAGGAGCCCCCGGACCCTGAGGGAAGCAGAGCAAAGGCTGGGAGAGAGAAATACAAGTTTATTGCAGGAATGGGGTGTGGGGCCAGGCCCGGTCTTCACGTGGTTCTGCTGTAACACACACAGAGTGTGGGGCTCTCCTTCCAGCACCTCTGGGCTCCCCCAGCTCCCCCTCACCTCCCCTGGGAGGGGGGACCCCAGCTCTGCCCCACCTCAGGCACATGCCCCAGTCCTCTCTCCCACCCCGGTTCCTCCCAGTGTGGCAGAGCACCAGTTCCCATCCCTCCTTGCACAAGGCATTCCCCCATCTCAGCCCGAAGAAAGCTGCACCAACCACCTCCACTGTAGAGCAGCTCCACACTGGGGACACGAGAAGCCCCAGCAGAGGTGCTGGGGCAGCTGCCCCCTCCCAGCAGCACCAGAACCCCTCGGGGTTTCCTCCTCTGCCTGCCCAGAGGCACCACCAGCCCCAGGGCCCTGCTGACAAGGCAGCCACTGCAAACAGTAGCTGCACCCCACAGCAAGGCAGTGGGGTGGGGGACAGGGCTTCAGCTTCTCCTCACATTAAGTTATGGGTTGTAGGAACAGGGGCAGCTGAGCAGGAGGGACAGGGAATGTCTCACAGGGTGCTTGGTTTCTGCCCTCATGGCAGAAGGAATCACAGGGCAAACACTCCTGGAGTCAGAGCAGGGGGCACATGCAAGACCCCCACCCTGGCACAGATGACCCCCCGCCCTCCAGAGACCCCACCAGAAGGGCCTGAGGTGCTGCAAGAAGGAGAAGCTCCCCTGTGGCAATGGGTCCTTCAGGCCAGGGCAGCGCCGAGCGGGGCCAGTCCTTGTGCACACCCTGAGATCGTCCCTTTGCAGCGGCAAGAGACCTTCCCCCTTCAGTCCCACTGGCGTCCCGCCCCTCAGATCTTGGAGGACTCCACCCGCTCGATCCAGGGCGAATCGATCCTGACATCCCTGGGCTCCGCCCGCAGCTGCCGCAGCTCCCGCTCCAGCGCCTGGCTCCGGTGGTACATCTCCATGTAGCTGGCCTGGAGCTCCCGCTGGTACCGCAGCACCTTCTCCTTCTCCTCCTGCCACGTTTTCCTCTCCAGCTCAAAGTTCACGGCCTGCAGCTGGCCCTGACGCCGCTCCCGCAGCAGCTCTGCCCACAGCCACTCCACCTGCCGCTCCAGGGGCTCGGCCGAGTCGCTCTGCAGGCCCCGGCACTTGGAGTCATCAGTTTCGCAGCCAGGGAAGTCCTGGCACGACGGCATGGGGTCATCGCCCAGGGGCAGCGAGGAGCCGGGCTCGGGGGGGCTCTGGAAGGAGTCTGCCAGCTGTGCCAGCTGCGAGTCCCTGGCCTGGACCTCTGCCTTGGCCTCCCGCAGCTGCGTCTTCAGGCTGAAGATCTCCCCCAGCTTCTGAGCCATCTCCTCCTGGGTGTCCCGGAGCTGCTGCTTCAGCAGGGAGATCTCTGCTGCTTTCTGGCACACCTGCAGGGCACAGCAAGCAGTGAGGGCTGAGGGTGCAGGACCCCAGAGGTGGCAGCACCCCAAGCTGTCCTCCTGAGAGACCATAAGCACCACACGTGGCTCATCCCTCCCATATTGTGACCCCAAGTAAAACCAGAGCAGGGAACTGCTGTCCCCATCCTGGCCCCACAGCCAGGAGGGTGGCAAAAGGGAAGGAGGGAAGGAAGGGGACTCACCTCCCACTTGGTCTCCTCCAGTTTGGGGCTGCCATGCTCGCCCTGGGGCTGCCGCAGCTTGCTCTCCTCACACTGGCACTGCTGCAGGCTCAGCTCCTCCTGCAGCCGCTTCTTCTCCTGCTGCGCCTTGTAGAGCTGCAGCTGCAGCGCCCGCTGCCCGCGCTGCGCCTGCTGCATCACCTGCTGCAGCCGGGCCATGTACATCTGCTTCAGGTCCTCCAGCTCGTCCAGCCACAGCCGCTGCTTGTCCTCAAACGCCTGCCAGCACAGGAGGACACTGGTGAGAGGCTGCAGCCCCAGGAGGGACCCCAAGAGGTCCTGTGATATTTGATCCTCCCGTGCTTGGCCATTCCAAGCCCATCACCCACCACGGCAGCTCCTTCACTGCTCCTTCCACCCCCACATCCCTGCCTGGGGCACCCAGCACAGCTCACCTGTGTGAAGGGGTCTTCAGTCTCGCTGAGGCTCCTCTTGAGCTGCCTCAGCTCCCCTCCCGTCTCCTGCAGCCGGTCCTCCAGCTGCTTCACCGCGTCCTCCAGCGAGTAGGAGAACTCGTAGGGCGGTGGGGGCTCACCGGGGCTCTGCAGCCTGCTCAGGGTGGCCATGCTTTTGCAGGACAGGGGCATCTTCTCAGGGGCCAGGGTATCCCTGGGGCTCCGAGAAACCCTGTCCAGGGAGCCCCCGATGTGGTTGATGTGGCCCATGGAGGCGCTGAACTGGCTCTGGGCAGGCTTGAGGCGGGAGCCGTAGGAGGGGAAGCTCTGGATGGAGTTGTGGCTGGAGTCAGAGGCCTCGTCCAGGCTGATGGCATGGAGCAGGTGGGTGCGGAGCGGGCCGTGCTGCGGGGCCGCCGTGCTGCTCTGCGACAGCAGCGTGTGCAGGCTCCCATTGCTCTTGGACAGCTTCTGCCCCTTGGACGAGGACAGGCCCTGCATGGAGACCAGCCCCTTCCCAGCCACTGCCTTGAAGGCCGAGGGCCTGATACGACACTGAAAAACAAGAACAAGGTCAAGCATGAGCCTCTACACCCAAAGAGAACCTCCACACTCCCAGCCTCGTATCCCTGAACATTCTCAAATCCCCACATCCCATCCAGGGGGTGCAGATCATCCTGCTCCATCCCCACCCTCCCGCAGACCAGGCTGTATTTCAGGATCCCACAGCCTCACCTTGTCAAAGCGGCCCCGCTCGGGCAGGGAGCTCTTGGAGAAGTCGGCCCCGCGGTGATGCTCGCGGGAGCAGCGCTCAGGGGATCGGTTCTCGCGGTCGCTCTCGTAGTCCCGCTTGTAGCAGGCGCCCGATGTCTGGTGCTTCCGCTCCGCCCGCGTCTCCTTCTTGGCCCCGTGCAGGTACCCAAAGAGCTCCCGCTGGTTCGGCCCCTTGCGCAGCAGCCCGTCGGGCTGCCGGAGCCCCCGCGAGCCGCCCAGCGGGGCCCGCAGCTCCAGGGGGGACAGATCCTGCTTCTCCACCAGGCTGCCCACGCTGCCCATGCTGCCAACCACGCCGACGGGCTCCGAGGAGAGGTAGGTGCCGAGGACACGCGTGTCGGGCTCACAGGTCACAGGACCCTGTGCTGCTGCCATGGAGAATTAGAGAAAAGCCCAGAACCAGCGCTGCCGGGGAAGAGACAGAGTCAGCGATGCCGGGCAGCCGGGACACACCCCCGGCACCCCCTTTCCCGGCCAGCCCCAAGGGCCCACACGGGCTCCTGGCACCGGGATGGATCTGCCACCTCCCGTGCGGCTTCCCGGGGGACAGGGCACAGCCGGCACGGGGTGGGGGCTCCCCGCCGCTGCCCCCACCACGGTGCAGCGCCTCCTCCCACACCCAGCCCCACCTCCCGCCCGCGGCCGGGGCCGCCACCAGAACAGGCACCTGCCGCCCAGCCAGGCGGGCGAGTTCGGTAACCGGCAGCACCTGCCCAGGCCTGGCGCCAGCCCCGGCCCGGCGGCACCAACCTCCCCGCCGGGACCTCCGGCTGCGGACCCGTCTGGAGACCGCCCCAAAACTCCCCTGGGATGCCCACCAGCCTGGCCTCCCCGGGATGGGCACTCTGCGGCACCACGGGGACAATTCCCGCACGGCACGGGCTCTGCAGCTCGCAGGGGAACCTCACACAGCCCCCTCCATCCTCCATCCACAGCATTCCCTCCCCAGCCCGGGCAGGGAGCAGGCGGCCACAGCCCAGCTGCTGCTGCTGCGTGCCGGGGACCCCGCGGCCGGACATGGCGCGGGAGGGCGGTGGGAAGGGGCAGGATGCTGACGGGACAATGCAGCTTCCTGCGCAGGTGGCCGGGGGAGGAAGGATGAGAGGATGCCTTCGGCCTCGGCTCTGGCTCCCCAGCGCTAGGGAGGGGACGATGGCCTCACACCAGTGCAGGGGACACAGAGAGTGTGGCAGGGGCGAGGCAGAGCCCCCAGCACCGCTCCCAGCCTTGCCGAGGGCTCCGGGGCCGGGTTACACCCAGGAAGCTGCCCTGGTTCTCAGCACCACGCGCCGGGTAAACAAACACCCCGCTTTTAATTGCTGCCACGCACAAACCTGTCTGACAGCTCCCGGCCTGCGCTGTCACCTCCCTCTGCGAGCCCAACACCTGCTCCGGGCACCGGCACCCCACCAAGGGCACCGGGGATGGACCCTCCGGAAGGATCGGGGCTGCCTGCGGCGCCACCGGGCGCGCACGGGGATGGGGAACGGGGATGTTCCCGTGCTGGGGAGGGGGGGGGATGGATGCACATCCAGCCCCCGGCTTTGGGGAGCAGCTCGGCCGAGCCCCGCAGCGGCTCCTCCCGGCACAGGCGGCCGAGGAAGTAGGTCAGGTTGTGGGAGGTTTGGGAAGCGCCGGGGGAGCCCGGGGGTGTCCTGCCCGCGGCAGGGAGGGGATCACCCTCCAGGCGGCAAAACACCGGTCCGGCCAGCCTGGCTCCTTCGCGCTCTGCTCCCGATCCCAGCCGTACCCAGGCAGGATACGGCCACAAACCTTTTCCCTTTCCCATTCCCATTCCACCCAGGGTTGGAGGGAGGCGGGCGCGGGTCCCGCGCAGCCCCTCCGCGCCTCCCGCAGCCCCGCCGGAATTTCCGGCTCGGAGAGGGCGGAGGGGGCAGCCGGTGCCCGGGGCCGAGCCCGGGACAAAGCCCCGCTGGCCGCGGGGAGGGGGATGGGGCCGGGCCGGCCGGGCCGCACTCACCATGCCGGCGGCGCTGCGGTCCCGCTCGGCTCCGCTCCGCGCTCCTTCCCTCGCCGCGTTTGAACGCGCCCCTCGGCCGCGGCCGCGCGGGGCGGCGGGCGGAGCCGGCACCGGCAAATCGCGGCGCGGGGGCGGCGGGACGGGAGGGGCGGGAAGCAGCAGCAGCAGCAGCAGGAGGAGGATGATGAGGAGGAGGAAGAAGGAGGAGGAGGAGGAGGAGGAAGGAGGGGGACGGCCCGGCCGTGCCCACCAGCGGGGCGGGGCAGGGCAGGGCGCGCTGGCTGCGTGCGGCGCCAGCTTGCGCGGAACCCCCTCCCAATGGCGGGGAGAGCCCCGCAAATCCCCCCAGCTACAGCTCCGGGACCGGCAGCACCGGCGCCGGTGGGCTCCCGGTAACCCCTGACAGGCGGGCTAGTATTCCCGAGTATCGCCCAGCAAGGGTGGAAAGAAATATTTTGCTTCGTACCTGCGGCGTGGAGAGGGGTCTCAAGTCCACGGGACACTCTCTGTGCCGTCCTCCAGCAGGGCAACCCCGTGTCCCCCACTCGCAGCAGCACCCGCGGGTGGGCAGGAGCCTCACAAAGCCGGGGACACGGCGTACCCCGTGGGGCTCCCGCTGGCCTGGCGCCAGTGAGACGGGACACGCTCCATCCCCATGAATCACATCCTGGAGTCGGTTTTGGCAGCCGCAGGGAGCGAGGATCCCGGCACGGGTGGCCCGGGTCAGCGGTGTCGCTGGGAGCAGGACACTGCAGCAGCAGCCCTGCTCCGGTGCCGTCTGTGCCCGGCAGGGACCGCCCCGTCCCCAGCCCGGCGTGCCCGCTCCCCGCTCGCTGCCAGCTCCCTCCGCCGCACACCCGAGTCCTCAAGCTGTGCTGCCAGTGCTCTCCCACACGCACACACTGTCCCGGTCCCTGCTCGCCGGGCTCACAAGCTGGCAGCGTGCTCGGTGCGCTGCCAAGGCACGCTCCGCTCCCTCGGGCCTCAGCCCCCGCTCCCCGCAGCTCCTGAGGCACCATCGCGGCCTCTGAACACGGGAGCCCTTCCCAGCGGTGCCATGTCCCACCCTGCTGGCCTCAGGACTGTCTGCCATGCCCTGGCCCTCTGCCGGGAGCTCAGCTGTGAAAGGGCCCCACTGGCATCGCCCCACGGGCTGGGACCGGGCGGGTTCAGCGATGCCGGGAGGCTCACGGGGTGATGCTGCTCACGGCCGCTCCCCTCTGCCCGTCTGCCCCGTTTCCTGCTCCTCCTCGGGCTGCACACCCCGAGCACGTCTGCCTGGATAGGAACTTCCACAGGGAGCCTGGCCCTGCCCGGGTCACTGCACAGACAGGGATGTCACCTTCTCCAGGCAGAGATCCTTCAGCTTCCTCTGAGTTTTTCCCCAGTCCCCTCTCTCTGCTCGCCTCACCCACCCTGTGCTCCCCTCTAAGATACTACAGCAATTCCACGAGTCCACCAGCAAACAGCTCTGGAACAATCCACTTTATAACAACCTGGCAATAATTGATTGCTGCACCTGCTTGAACAGTAATTGGGACCCCAGAATGGGGGGGGGGGGGGGGGTCACAGAGGGGCAGGGCGGGCCCTCCAGGGCCCTTTCTGCCCCTGAGCATCCTGATGTTCTCCTCAGGCTTGCTGAGAGCATGAGAACGCTGGGAAGCTTTTGCCTGGGCTCTGCAGGGCTCCTGGGACGGCAGGCAGGGTGTGATCCATCTGTGAAAGGCAATGGGGAAAACTCCATCCCCTCCCGCTGGGCCATTGCCGAAACCGAAGCGTGGGGGGGAGCAGAGCCGAGCGACCTCCGAGTCACATTCAGGGCTATAAAAGGAAGCCGGGTCTCCAGCAGGGTGCCTCTTCCACAAAAGCAACCGGGGGATGAGGGGGCTGCGAGCAGAGCTGAGAAAAAGCTGCCAGGCAGCGGGAGAGGAGCCTGGAGCGCTGAGCCAAGTGCGAGGTGCACATATGCTCTCTGTTTCTGCACAGCCACGTCTCCATGAAACCTGCCCCAATTTGTGTCATCTATTTTGAACGGCACAGAGAAATACTTTGATCTGCCTCCACCAGCCCTGGCTGCGGTTCAGGCACCAGGAAGGGGCCGCCACACAGATGGCTGAGCCCAAAGCCGTGCCATGGACAGGCAGCGTGGGGCTGCTGGGCCAGTCTCTCCCTCTGGCTGCCCACAGCAAGGGCATGGCTGGTCCTGGAACACCTGTGGAGAAGTGCACCAGCTGTCCAAGTTCACCAGCACCTTCATGCCAGGTACCAGCACAAAGATACCTGATACCAGATACCAGAGCTGCTTTGGAGCCACCAGGCTGGAGAGGCCATCAGGAGCTCCTGGGCAGCACAGCCCCACAGTGCCCCGAGGCTGAGCCTGGTGCTTCCATGCTGCAGAGCAGATCCTCACCATCCTGCACCACCCTGACACCCTGTCCCAGGGCTCCAGACTCCTCTCCCAGCTCCAGAGCAGCACAGAGAGCAGAAGGCACCGGATCCCACAGCCCCTACAGGGTACATGAGCCCTGCACTTGGCTTTGACGCTTTTTTCCCTCCCTCCCTCCTCTCTGGAGCTACTCGTCTTCCCAGGATGGCAACAGCTTCTCTCTGAGGATGCAAAGCAACCACTCCAGGAAGTGGCAGGCAGGAGAGGAGGACAGAAGGGGCCAGGAAACGCAGAGGGCCTGGTGCCAGTGCGAGTGGTGGGGCTGAACAGAGGTACTGGCTGTTCAGCTGGGTCTGCCCAGCCTGAGGAGGCAGCAGCACCCACAACCTGCGCCAAGACCCCAGAGGAGACATCCGATTTTCCAACCCCCCAGAAAGGCTGAGGCAGCACACACACGGAAGGCAGGCAAGGAAAGGAAAGCACAGCCAGAACTCTCCTCCTCACCCCAGAGAGGTCCTGGCCTACAAGTGCTGACACCCAGCAGGGCTGTGGATGCTGGGGCTCGGGCACGGCTCAACCACAACCACTTCCTGCAGTGAAATGCCAACAGCCCAGCCCTGGGGGCACTGAAGAGGCACCATCTTTCCCAGAGCCCGTTTCAGACTGGCTCGGCCTCGGAGCCAGAGCAGCTCAGAGCTCACCTGTCACAGAGAGGAGCTGGGGCCAAGCCAGGACAGGTGTGCTGAAGGAAGGTGAAGGGAACAGGAAAATGGAGTGATGCCAGCACAGCCCAGGGCATTCACAACTCACAGGTGCCCTGACAGTTCTTTATTGTCCTCAGAGCTGCGTGGCAGCTCAGCCATGTCCAGCACAGGAAAGCCACGTCCTGCACTGCCCTGGGAGGCAGCACCAGCGCCTGCAGCGGCACCAGCGAGTCCCACTCTCAGCCTCCTCTGTAGCTCCCAGCAAAGTCCAGTTCTCAGCCTCTTCTGCTCCTCTGTGTCTCGCCAGCACTGCCACGCTCATCCGCTGCAAACCCCTGCCTGCTCCAGGCAGCTGCACGGCAGCCAGGGAGCCTTGGCACCAGCACAGAGCCACGACTGGCACAGGGGATGGGCTCAGCCAAACGTGCACCACGGGGTCTCGTTCGTGTCACAGTCCAGCAGGACATTGAGGACGGTGCAAGGGGCTCCTGCCACGCTCAGATCTGTGCGTGACTCGATTCTGTACCTCACGTTGTTCAGGCCTCCCTCCCGATCCACCTTGAACTGCTCCTGAGGGAGAGAGAGACTGCTCAGCCCAGGCTGGCAGGGAGAAGCACCCAGGGCCCGGGGAGGGAGCCAGAGCTGGCAGAGGAGGACAGGAGCAAGGAGGGCTCAGAGCACACGGTGACCACAGCCCCAGTCTCCCGTGGCTCTCCTGGACCACAGCTCTCACCTGCTTCTGTGCAGCGATGCGCTTCTGGTCTCTCTTCCTCCAGGCTGGGTCGTGCAGGTGCTGGAAAGTCTCGTATCCAGTTGTGATTCCAGAGGGACGACGGACCTGGGAGAAGAGCAGAGCTTCCCTACAGCTACTGCAAAACTCCTGCACCTGCTGCTGGAGCACAGGGCTGCTTTCCCCACACCCCAAACTGGGTGGTCACAGTGAGGCACAGGTGAAGAGATGTAAGAAAGGGCAATTTCAAGGCAGGAGGGTGCAGAGACCCCTTACCTGGAGACCAGCTCCTTTGATACGTCGATAGAACTCATCGTCCTCCCGTCCCCAGCCCCAGAAGCGGTTGGACATCCCATTGCACTGCAACGAGAGCAGCACCATAGCAGCCAAGGCCCAGCACAACTCCACAGCCTCAGAGGAGCTGAGCAGACACCAGCCCAGCCTCCCCTGTCCAGCCCCCAGCAGCTCAGACCACAGGCTCTGTCCCCAAACCATTTTAATTCCTGTCCCCACTTCCCAAGTTCACCATGATAATGCCATAGCTCCTGCTCCAAACTGTCCAGGACACGCCACCCAGCAGCTCACCAGCTCGTAGTGCTGCTTGGTGAGCAGCAGGATGCCACCCACGTAGGTCTTGTAGTGGTAGAGGGGGTGCAGCTCAGGGGATGCCACGTGGAAGGGCCCTGCCTCGGGGAAGCTGTAGTCCAGGTGCTCGTTGAGGGGCAGGAGATCCACGTCGTGCATGGCGATGTAGTCGGTGTCGTTGCCGCTCTCCAGGAAGCCCACGTTGATCAGGGATGCCCTGTTAAACCTGCCAGGGACTGGGGGCTCTCAGTGCCACCACGCACAGCAGTCACTGCCCCCACATCCCTGCCACAATCATCAATGCTCAGTGCCTGACCCGTCCCCAAGCAGGGACACGTGCAAACACAGCTCTTCATCCTGCACAGCGAGCTGGGGGTGACAGCATTTCCAAACACCCCAAGGCCTGTCTTTCACTTCCACAATCCCCATATGTTTGCTGCTGCAGACCTGTGACACAGGGGAGAAAGCTGAAATACTCGAGGATGAAGGATTCTATGCTAAGATTCCATTTTTGCTATGGAATAAGGAAGCAAACCAGCACTTTGTCCATCTCTGAGCTCTAGAATGAGCAGCTTTGGGGAGAGCATCACACACTGCCCCTGACATCCCGCAGCCCTGGTCCTACACTTCTCTGCAGCTCCCTCCCAGCACTCCCAGAGCTTCGGGCAGGACCCCTCGGCACAGGCAGACGCCGTACCTGAAATGATCCACTTGGTTGAGGATGAAGATGCGGTGGCGGATCTTCTTCTTGCTGAGGAAGCGGTGCATGTAGGGCACGAAGGCCAGCAGCTCCTCGAAGCGCTCTCGGAAGGGCACCAGCAGCGCCAGCCGGTGCGGAGCCCACGACGGCTCCTCGTGGGGCGGCAGCGGCGGGGCCGGGGCCGGGCAGGGCTGCCGGGGAGCGCCCCGGGGCTGCCCCGCCGGTGCCGGGCCCTCGCCCGAGCAGCTGAGCTGGAGCCAGAGCAGCGAGGCGAAGCCGAGCAGCAGCGCCAGCAGGAACAGCGGGAAGGCGGAGAGCCGGCCGGGGAAGAGCCGCAGCAGCGGCGGGGACCTGCGGGATGGAGCGGGGTCAGCGCACCGTGTGACCCCCGCACCGGGACAGCATCCCCCGAGCCCGCCCGGCCCCCGGTACCGCCCGGTACCGCCGGGCTCACATCCCCGGTACCGCCCGGTACCGCCGGGCTCACCCTCCGCCGCGCAGCCGGAGCGCGTCCCTGCGGCGGCCCGGGCCCATCGCCCCCGGCCCCGGGACACGCTGGCGGCTCCCCCGCTCCCCCGGAAACACGGCCCCGCTCTCTTCCGCCGAAGGGGCGGGACGGGG